ACGTTTCAAATGTATAGGAAGAATGATGTTCATCGCCGTTCTCTGCCACCGTATTTCTTGTGTTTATTTTTTCTTGTATGCTGAATCAAGGCAATCTCGAACATTAGCTCAATTCGAATAAAATGCATAAGTATGGTGACACTGAAAACGCAGTAGAGGAGGACGTGATTTTGGTATGTTTTTATTTTCCAAGGTATTTATCGAGTTTCAGTGACAAATACCACATGTCTTGGCGCAGTACATTTGCGCAATAGGCTGGAAGTCTGGACTGCTGCATTGGCCAGCGTGGTATGGTCCGAGGCAGAACGATTCTCCTCCCTGATCCACACATGGCTGAAAAGACCGAATAATAGAATTGTTTCGAAAGCAGTAAGCCCTATATATGGTGGGACTTACAGCACTGACTTGTGCCTCAGTTGTGAAGGCGTTGAGAAGGAACAGGGCACATACAATGTAGAAGAACATATTAGAGTCCGCTGAGCTGATGACATACACTTAGCTATTCGACCTATTTATATTGAGTTACGAGGAAATAGAGAGTGTGCCACTGCCACCGCATTTGCAGGTGTTACAATTGAATTCGAGGAGAGTTCCTCTTAAAAACTCGGCAATATTGTTTCATCTGTTCAGTTTCTACCATTCTTCCCATATTGACGTTCCGATATTGACAGAGGACCAAAACGACCGCTTCCGAGCATTGTGGTTAGCCCTCAGCCCACGCAAAATGAAGCACCCAGGCTATGATGACGATTTTTCCTTCAATCGGAAATTCTACTTCATGTCGAGTTCGTCTCTACGGCGCAATCTCGAACAATCTACTACAATAACGAAGCTCTTCTACTAGAGCGTTCACAGTTGAGAAGTGAGAATCCCTAATATATTAAGAACCTTATAATGAGAGACCACTCTTGAGACATCACCCACGGCCGTCACACGAGCGAAGTTCCATCTGTTCTGCAGCAATCGGAACGGCCCGAATCAGCGAGTGGACAAGGAACGTCGGTGTTAAACATAAAATTTTCCTAATGATTCGCAGAAATGCTAGGTTGGGAACAAAACTTTCGCCCCAGACGAAACTCGAACGTGCATCTTTGCTTGGCGGACTGCAGCCAAAACCCGCAGTTAACAAACAAAATCATAATAAAAATTTGAACGCAACTTGAGTTGATTACTTTATGGCCTTTCATCATAGGCACATTCATACGTTTGAACAAGGTGGAGCCCATATCCGTTAGGCTGTGAAAATAGAAAAATCTTGCCGGCCGAAATTTTGGGACCTAGTTGGGCGCAGTAAGGCGCTCGCTCACCTTAACTATATGAAGGTGCTCAATCAAACGTCTTCGGATGACGGGGGTCAGAGCCTACAGAAGCCGATCAGAACTTCGGAATTCCATCAAGCGCTAACAGGGAAGGTCATCAGGTCGGTCCGGCCATTAGCAATGAGCATTGCACTCGCCTCGAGACGCTGAGCTCAAAACTGCCTTCACTATCTGCTAAACGGTTCTTGAACGGAGTTATAAAGCAAGAGAGCGGTAGTGCCCTGGGCTCGCAGGCAAGAGGTGGTGGGAACGGTTTTTTGAGGAGCCTGCTTTTTGTTTTCAATGTCAATGTGGCAGAAAAGCTTCTAAATTCGTTAATTTATCAACACTTGCCAGTTGCCTGTATGAAGAGTTTGCAAGCAGTTCCCACAACCTCTTGCCTGCGAGACAGGGCACTACTGCTGCGCTTCCCCGCTTTATAACTCCGTTCAAAAAATCGTCTAGCAGATACAGTTTTGAGCTCTGCTTCTCGATGCGAGTGCAAAGGTATAAAGCTCATTATGAACGGCCTGATGACCTTCCCTGGTAAGACCTGCTTAAGTGCCATGATAGTTGTCTCCCCCAAGGCGATTCGAGACCCTCTTTTTCCTTATTGAATGGTGAATCATTGTTCACCATCAGGATTTGACTGGTATCTGTTCATCTGGTTCAGAGTTATTTCCAATTTCCCGTAAATTCACCCACTCAGGACAGTTGAGTCCACATAGTGCAGTGTTTGCAGAGAGCTTCACCCTCATTTATTTGTAAAAACCCTACGAAATGCGATAATAGCTCGCAGTTCTTGTTGGCAGTAGTGGCAGTATAAATATGGTCGATTGCTAATTGCTCACCATTAGCTCATCAGAATTCAAAATGTTCTTCTACTTTGTATGTGCCCTTTTCCTCCTCAACGCCTTTACATCTGAGGCACAAGTCAGCGCGGTGAGCTACGCATGAACATACAGTTACTGCTTCAGACAAAGGGAATTTGGCTATGTATGTGCTACCCGCTTTTTTCAGCCATGTGTGGATCAAGGAGGAGAATCGTTCTGCCTCGGACCATACCACGCTGGCCAATGCAGCAGTCCAGACTTCCAGCCTATTGCGCAAATGTACTGCGCCAAAACATGTGGTATTTGTCACTGATGACCTGATAAATGCCTTTGTAAATAAATATCCTCCGAAATCACGTCTTACTTTGTGCGTTTCCAGCCTCACTGTACATTTGCAGCATTGTCAAAATAGGCTTAATGTCCGACATTCCGGCTCTAGTCAGCTTAGTCCGTATATGGGACATTATGAAGCACAAGGTGAAATAACTTTCCCAGACGAATGCTGCAGGTGCCCTTGAGGAAAGGGCGGTCACTAGTTAAACAGGTGATGGAGGAGAGACCAGGTAGAATGTTCTGTGAATGAAAAAAGGAGCTAAATCAAGCATCGTTATCAAATATTTATCATGGTGAATTCAATCATGAGAATGGAAAAAGTGAAGAGAGTCACTGTTTTAACGAACTTGTTTCGAAGACTGCGGCTGAGAAAAATCAGAAAAAAAGACGTGAAATCGCTAACTAACCTAACCCCTGCATAATAATCGCCAATAATTTCAGATGCTGAACGGAAGGACAGAAAATGGGTAGAGGTGGTGCAAGAACGGGCTGCGCCGATCTCAGACTTTTCTGGCAGCACTCGCTTCATACGCGACCTCGCGTGGATGTGATCTTTCATGCTAAACCTTCCCGAAACTCTGCTTGTTTGCACAGATTCACCAGTGTACAGCGATCGCCGTAAAGGATGGCTATCCTACTATATGTAATTCTCTAGGTATGTCTGTGCGTGTGTATGTGTGTGTACGTCTGTTTGTCACGAAATTCATAGCGCACTTCGCTGCAACAGTGGAGCGCTGTATTTTAAGTATGTTGTAGGGGGTGGAACATCTTTGGTGGGGACCCAAAGTGATAACGACTGATAAGATCCGATAAGAGGCGCCAAAACGCCAATTTCACGATATCCATAGCGCGCATCCCAACATCAGTGAGGCGTTGGTTCCAAGAAGTGACGTGCAGAGAGCTCAAAACGATCGTATGGTGGCAAGGAGATCAAGTAGCTTCTAAGTTCATCCAAACAGCTACATCTAGGCCGCATACTTCCTGAACGTCGAATGAACGGCTAGTTTAAGGGAATGCTGACACACTGTGTGGTGGCCTTCGGCCGTGAACCCTATTATCAGGTGGGAGACTTTTGAGTTCACGGTATGATCAAATCCAGTCATTTTTTCGAGATAAGCAATTTGATGATCGTAGAAGAAGGGCAGCCGAAATGGTCAACGAGCGGCACCACCTTGCCCAGGTTTTCCATGTGAATTGGTAGTTTCATCTCCTCATCGGTGCTGAAGCCCGAACTTGTGTATGCTACAACCGTAGTCACAATCAAGGTTATTACGTAGAGCGAGTTTTGGAATCGGCATGACCCCCCTCTCCCTTCCTGAAACCGAGCGCAGACCTCCTCTCCAGGAGCATTCCATAAAATACTTACTCAAATCTGGTGATGTTTACCTCAGACATTTTCAGTTCAGTTCCATCTTCAAAAAGACCGCTGGCCATAGCAGCAGGAAATAGAGGACAGACTTGCATAAAACGATCGAATCGCGGAGAATCACAAGGCTTCCTAAATCTCACAGAAGTCATGAAAAGTTTTCAAGCGGCTCCTGCTTCTCTAGACTGTTTCCCTTTAGTTTGCGGATAAAAACCCCTTCAAGAACGTGAATACGAACTTCATGTGAGTTACAATAGCGGTCAAAAGTGTTCGCCGGAATGATTTCCAATGCATTATTTTTCTCGTTAAAGCAACACATTCCAGGGATTGTATGCTAGGTTCCCTAGTGTTTTTATAACGTCAAGTTTTAAAGAATCAGGATATTCAAGGGAAAGTAATTTCGAAGCTGCCATTGATGTTTTTGATAAAAAAGAAGAGCACGAGAAATCGTTTCGGCTAACTCTTTTGACCGCTATTGTATATGCAGCGTTGTTGGTGGGCTTACAGTCATTCGTATACAATGAATTCACGCTCGACGAATGATTGACCCAAGGGAAGGGTGGAGTAGACCTAGGGTTATCGCTGAACTACCAAATATTACACCTTATACTGCTTTCCGTTCCACCTACGCCAAATTTCCCACTTTTCTAGAAAATTCTCCTCCCATGTGTTCAATCATTCTAACGTCTACTTTACCAACTTCCTTCGAAGAATCCCAAATATAACTCATTTCATTTACCCCAGCTCGAACGAGTGATTGAGCCAAAACGAAAATGTCCTATCTTATCGACTCTTTCGAGTCCTTCAAAAATTGGCAAGGAGGAGGTAATAAACTTGGGCGGGCTGAAAAGCCCCACTTGAAGTAGATATAATAATGTATAATGTACAACTTCATAACTTCCCTGGAAGCGGAATGTTCAGGTTCGATTCTCTTAGGGAAATGCGAGTTTTGCATATAACCTGGCATTTTTGAGAAAAATCGAATGAAGGTACTTTTTTGTGTGTGGAAAGTGAACGGAATGGGAGAAATGCAAAAATTGAATTAAATGGGCAAATTTGCTTAACGCGAAATAGAGCGAGTCCTTTAGCCTTTCGTGCAGCATATGTACCGTATTGTATGTCCTCTGTCCTTAGCGAGCATTCTTTGTTTCTCAATGTGATGTTTTCAACAGCTTAAGTTCGTCCAGCAGATCTGTCTATACTTTCTGCACCGTTTTTAGACCCGTGTAATTAGAGTAATCGTCGCTATTTCTTGTTTTCACTGGAGTTATGTCCACATGTACATAGATGTGCATGGGGGTGGGACAACACACTGTTGTGCAATTCTGGGTGACTTGTCGCATGGCTTCGACCAAATTCCGGTGGTAGTTAGAGCCACAATGCTCATCACCGCAGTGCAGTATCCAGCAGCTTCTGTGAAGAATCAAATTGCAACCTCATCAGCAACACAAGAAACCCTTCTCTACAAAGTTGTGCAGGCAGCTTTATTCTCAGTAGAATCCAATAGAGTTTATGTGTACAGTTTCCTCAAAGCTTGAGCTAACTTCTTTATTCATCATTTTTATCAAGAGATTCGGCACTATTCAACTATTACAACCCCAAAATCTCAAAATTTTATTTTTCGTCGAAACTTCGCCTATAGGGGTAATTCGATGCCCTGATTACGAAAATGACATTCATTTTTGGCGCTGGCGCCATTTGGCGCCAATTGGCGCCAGTTTGGCGCCAAGGGTGTTTTCACCAAATTCGCTGTAAACTTGTATATAGGGGTTATTTGGGGTCCTGATTACGAATATAACATTCATTTTGCCGTTTGCGCCATTTGGCGCCTATTTTCCGCTCGTCTGCGCCCTCTCACTGATTAGCTCGCGATCAGGACTAAGCCTTTGGGGAGAGGAGTGCTCCGAAGTGAGTAAATCACTCATCCTGTGATCTTATACGCTTCAACATTTGCCACACGTTGCCTGGTTCACCCACCCAGGAGTCCCCCTCCTCCTAAGCTTAGTCCGAGAGCCCAAGAAAACGGGGAATATGCGTTGAATAGTGTAAATGCCAAAAACGAATGATATCCGTAATCAGGACCCCGAATAACCCCTATATATAAGTTTACAGCGAATTTGGTGAAATAGCCCTGGCGCCAAACTGGCGCCAATTGGCGCCAGATGGCGCCAACGCCAAAAATGAATGTCATTTTCGTGATCAGGGCATCGAATAACCCC